TTCTTGATGTAAAGGCAAGCATTTTACCAACATTTACCACCATTTGGCCCCATTTTACAGAAATCAATGAACCATAAAAGTTTGCATAAATGTAGCATAATATCTCTACAACGTATCCTCTCACTCATAATTTACCTGAGACTGCTTGTATCAGTCATTATAGACATTTCGTCCTTGCCTATTTTGTGCGACCTGGAGTCTTTACAATGACTAAGCAATTAGTTAGCAAAAACAGAAAATAAAACGTGTTTTGTTCAGTTTGGCCTCCAGCAAACCTTGTCCACCTCTCTGTGGGCCGGACCCTCAGTGTTCCGTTGTAAGCACATCTGCGCTGTTAAAAAACCGTATCGGAGCAGAAAACCAAAGAAAGGCTGCACCGAAATCACCTTCGCTGCTAGAACGGTCTTAAAGGATTCAAATGCAGAAGTTCAGAGGGCAGTGTTTGTAGATCCCCATACCCCCACACTGCCAATAAAAATGTTTTCCTAATTCAAAGACATTTTACAAAAAACCTTTAAAGGGCCAGGTGTTGTAAACAACTTTGCTCACAAAGACTAAGTGTTCCTCCAGTTTCGCAGGGCTATTAACAGACTGGATGCCTACAGGGTGTCTGAACAAAGACGCTGGGAATTAAAACCTTGTCGGTAAGATTCATCTATTAAAAGCAAAGCGAACCGACGTCCTCTTAACAACACTCTTGTCTTGTTTGCGTTAAATAGAATCCATTTAATAAGTCACACTCCAGATGCAAACTTTGTCACAAAGAGGAGGTAAAGCCTGAATACAATTGCTTTCCGCGGGATGTACTGTTAGGGTTCCTTCCTTTGAGAGCGCCAGCACTTTCAGCCCACTCGCTCTCTTTCTCACAGGGTCACGAAAACATCAATTTTCTAATGTCTCGCTGGTGTGAATCATCCCCATAGAGCTCAAAGAAACGGTGACAGCACTGTCAGAGCTGGAGCATCATTAGGATAGTGGAGCAGCAGCAAAAAAAGAAAAGGCAGAGCAGAGACATGACCTAGCAGCAGATAAATCCGTCACACAATAAGGTTAAAATCAGCCCAGCCACCGAGGACAGCACATGTAATATCCAAAGCTGAGAGGCAGGCAGCCTTTTTAAACACACACAGGAAGAGAGCGGGGGAGAGAGAAGGAGGGAGGGAGGGAGGGAGGGAAGGAGGTCGAGAGAGACTTCTTAGAAATTAACTTGTTGTCAGTGTCAGGAGCGGTCGCAAGAGCAGGAAAATGCAAAAAAAAAAAAAAAAAAAAAAAAAAAAAACGAGGGCAGTGCCACCTTAACAGGCCGTGCAGGAGGCGAGCAAACTCCTTGTGAATTGACCAGAGGGTTTGTTCTGTCCCTACAGTATCAAGTACTCTTTTGAAAGCAGGGCTGTCCAATAAATTCTCTGAGGATACGTGACCCAAATCAACCTAATATGTTTTTAAGCCAATCAGCATTTAATTATTATGTGGTCATTGGTTTAAGCCTATTACACTTTTGGATCGCTGCACTTTTACGACCTGTGCCTTGGATTAGCTTTCTACGGATTGTTAAGAAATATATTAAATATATTGTTATTCATCAATTATTTAATTATTTAATTATTTTATTTAAACTTCACAAAAGGTATTATTTTGCTTTTTGTTACCTGGAATTGTATTTTTTTTAAAAAAGGTTCACGATCATTCTCATCCAAATGACCCTTCCGCTCCCTCTGCTGGGAGGTTTTAGCAGAGGCACGAGAAAGATTTTCAGCCCACAAATTGCAAGCCAACACTATCCTTTAACAGGGACATTAGGTATGGCTTTAATTGCCCCTTAGTAGAAAACAAGCATATTACATCTGCCGGGTTGATAAGGTTGGACTTTAAAAACTAATTTTGTTGCTCATGTGCCATTTCAG